TGTTTATTCAGGCCTTCCCTCCAGCCAACTCTTGATTTTTTCTTACTTTTCCTTTTTATCTTTACTGCTGTTCTTGTTTGATTATTATGTATTTGTCTATGTTTTATTATTTGATTTTATATTTGGAAGCCGCCTAGAGTGGTCCGGTGGGCCAGATAGGCGGGGTATAAATTAAATAAATAAATAAATAAATAAAGTTAGCCCATTTGAATCAATGGAACCTACGGAGGAGTTAATTCTTTAAATCCGCATGGATTCAATGGGCCTATTCTAGTGCAATTTACTATTCTAAGCACCAGAATTAGGCCAATGTTTCTGCTGTCTGGTTCTGGATCAATTTCTGAACATGGTCCTGGTTACAAATGACTTTAAGACTTAAACAGTATAGCCTAGTGGTGGTGAAGGAACAATGCTATAACGTTGTCCTCCATAAACAGAAAGATGCTTCTGGCCTAAATCAAGCATCTACATAAAATCCAGCATCCAAAATAGCATCGAACTGGTAGTGCCATGGACATTCCTTCCTGTACCCTCCACCTTATAGCCCATCTGCTCTGGTGGGTTTCCCAATCCCTTGGAGTAGGATTGAAGGGCATGCAAGCAATTGCGCAGGGAAGAGGGATTGTCTAGCTCCAAGCTGTAGCAGTTCTATCAGGATGGTTTATACCATGTACCCCTACTGTGTCTGGAGAAGTCTTCATAGGATACACTTGAGTGGAAGGAACACTTTTGTTCTGGAGGGACAAGCATGCTTACTTGGGAGCAGGAGGAGAAGTTGTAGACGAAGTGTATGGCTTGTATCTTTTTAGGAACATCCTGAGCTTGGAGCTTTTTCCTCTGTTTGTTTCTGGTGTGTAACTGGGAAAGAGATTGCAATATCCCCTTTTAAGAAGCAGACGTGCACTGAGAATAAAATATGTGCCTGTTGATTGAACATTTACATTGGTAACTGGAGCAAGCCTGGGTTTTAGTGTCTGCTCTTCAAACTTCTGGCTGGCTTATTAACTTTTAGTTTTATGTAAAGCAGCTGAGTTCTGTACAACAACATACAAGAATATTTATAGCTCATTATTTATTTGTGCAAGAAAAGCTCAGAGCAACGTGAGCTATGTCACTAAACATGAATTTCTCATTGGTTATCCATTAAGCGTCTCCAGCTCTCAGCTGGCCCCTTTGTTTACTGTCCTTTCCCTCTTAGAAGTAACACATATGATGTTCTTGTACATTCTTCCATTGCATCTCTGGAACAAAAAGTTTTAATAGGATGCTACTTTGATTCCAAAACTCCAAGTAAACATTATTTGTTTCATTATAATATTTCACGTAAAGGACACAGGCACAAATTCCCTGTAGGTAAGAGCTGTTCCAGTAACAACTGAAGTGGAACAGTTTGTTCATGTTCTGTAATTTGGTATGTTCTGTATGGCTAAGATCAAAAGTCTTCCTAGTATAAGTTTTATATTTATATGTATGTTTCAAACTACTTGAAATACAATGTCCTTTTCTGTTTTATTCTCCTCTCCCATCTCCAAACTAAGCAAGGGAGAATCGACTGCCTTCAAGGCCCATACAGCAACCGTCAGAAGCGTTCACTTTTCTACTGATGGGCAGTCGTTGGTTACAGCCTCTGATGACAAAACAGTTAAAGTGTGGGCTGTCCACAGACAAAAATTCTTGTTCTCCCTAAGTCAACACATCAACTGGGTTCGTTGTGCTAAGTAAGTAAAACTGTTTTTCTGTATAACATTGTGGTGATGTATGTGGTGTTGAAAACGTTTCACTTATGTGAAAACTACTGCTTTTCTCTCCATGGGTTAAATCCTAAGTTTGGCTTACTTAGAATAGACCCTAAAGGAGTTTTTCTTGTGTTCATTGATTTTAGTGGGCCTCCTCTAAGGATGACTATACAGTAGTGCCTCGCATAGCGATCGCTCCGTATAGCGGCAAAATCACTTAGCGACGCTGTTTTTGCAATCGCAAAAGCGATCACTTTGCAATGGCCCCTATGGGGAAATTTCGCTTTGCGATGATAGCAGGGAAGCGATCGTCGCAAAGCCCCCATTTTCAGCCAGCTGATCGGCGGTTTCAAAATGGCCGCCGGGTAAACAAAATGGCCGCCCGCTGTTTTCAGGCACGGATTCCTTGCTTTAGAGGCACCGAAAATGGAGGCACCATGGAGGATCTTCGCTTAAAGGTGAGTTTTAAGCCCATAGGAACGCATTAATCACATTTTAATGTGTTTCTATGGGCTTTTTATTTTCGCTTAGCGATGTTATCACTTAGCAGCGATTTTTTCTGCACGAATTAACATCGCTAAGCGAGGCACCACTGTTTTTGGATCCAACCCGATGGGTAGCATCCTGTAGAGAGACACTGGGCCCATGTTTGTACAAAAACCATCCTATTCCTACCAGTCTTTGTGTGTTGGGGAAAATTTGAGTGGGGAACCTTCTGAGAGTATATAGATTATCTTCTACATCAGGGGTCTCCAAACTTTTCACATGGAGGGCCATATAACATATTTTTGATATTTTCAAGGGCCGAAGGAAGGCACATGAATGCACGTGCTCCTGCTCACTCATACACATGCTAGCCCACCCACACTCCCACCCACCTGCATGCATACATTCCCACCCACCCACATGCATGCACTCCTGCCCACTCACACTCACACCCACCCACCAGCGCTGGCTGGATAAAAAGGTCAGACGTGGCCCATGGGCCATACTTTGGAGATCCCTGTTCTACATCATCTGTCCAGACCCATGGGCAGATAGGTTGCAGGCATTAGAGCTGGAATAAGTGGTAAGTGAGGGCAGCCCTGCTCTCTTTTAACATGATGTTTATTTCATGGAAAGAAAGAAGATAGCTGAATGGGGCTTTCATACAGAATGGAGACTTCAGACCAATGAAGACCTAAGCTGTTGATGAAGTCATGTACAAATCCTCAATGAGCAAGGAAAGGAGGATGGGTTTTTACCCCTCCCCTTTGTGATTGAAAAAGGAGAGACAGAGTGCTTTCATTTCCATTCTTTCTGAAGACCTGGAGGGTGCAATCCTATACACAGTTACCTAGGACTAAGTCTCATTGAACACTGGGAGGCTCGGTAAGCATGTGCAGGTTAAATTAGTCTCCTAGACTTGTTTTCAATACCAGAATTTTAGTTGAGATGCCTAAGATAACAAAGGAGTGGAGAAATTGAAAAATAGGTAGGCATTTTTGTTATGTGAAAAATTGCATTGTCCTAATTATATTCAAAGATAATGAATATTTATAGTTAATGAATATTCACTGATTTCCGTGAGCCTGTTAGCTCAGCAGTACTGCACGCTTGAAAAATGACCGTCTTATTTCAGATGCTAAATTAAATCCTAGCTTATGTTGTCTCTGAAAAAAATGTCTGTCTTTTAGATTTTCGCCTGATGGAAGACTGATCGTATCCTCCAGTGATGACAAGACTGTCAAACTCTGGGATAAAACAAGCAGAGAATGTATACATTCTTTCTGTGAGCATGGCGGGCAAGTATCAAGCTACCTCCTTGGGATTTCAAGGCTTTCTCCTGTTTCTGAGAAGTGTATGAAGATCCCTTCCCCATTTTAATTTTTTTTATTTCTTTTCAAAATGTCAAGCATCACATTTTATACTATTTATATTTCACCCTAGATGCAATTTTGGAAGTGGTCCCATTTTATTAATTGGAATTTACGTTACTGTGAGTAAAGAACAGAGGCCCCCAAGCATGCTACGTCATATGGAACAGAAAGACATTTTAAGTTCTTGTGCGTCAGAGTAGAAGGGAACTGTAAATCTAATTTCTGGAGTTTCTACATTCAACGGTATTAAGGAGCGACACACTCTGTCCTACTTGATAAAAAGGTGCCTCATTCCAGCCCTACTAACCTGTGTGTAGGGTTAAAGAGGAGAAGGGTAGTCTGAAATAAGCATGAGAAATGGTTGGGGCAGGAAGGAAGGGGGCAGACTGGTCAGGAAAAATACATGGGAGAGTCTGAGATGTATTAAGCCTAGCCACATTCCGAAGGGCCCTTTGATTTACATTTTTACTACTGCTCCTTATTACAGTAGTACCTCGGTTTAGAAATACCTTGATTAATGTAATTTTCAGTTTACGAACGAAAATCCATTGAAAATAATGCCTTAGTTTACATTTTTTTTCTGCAATATGAAGCAAGTTTGCATTGTGCCTGGGAGGTTTATAGCACCGCCCCCGTTCATGCATTCCTATAGGAAACTGTGTTTTGGTTTGTGAATTTTTGGCATTACAAAATGTCCCAGAGAACGCATAAATTTTGTAAACCGAGGTACGCCTGTATTTTTCACTATATCGGGGCTGGGAAACAGCTGAAGGTCTGAGGGATGCACAGCCCCACACCTAGACTTTGGAGGGTCACTGTTCCTGTGCCCCAACCCCCAAAATATGATTCTTTATTTGCATCTTTTTTTTCTTGTACTGAAAAAGCCCCGTATGCCTTCTGGTGGCAAGTTTTTTTTTAAAAAATGGGGATGAAGGGCAAGAGGTGTTGCAGGTGGGGGGGGGCAAACACAGGAAAATGTACTCTGTATTCTCAGAGGGTACCTAGGAGGTTTTTTACAGTTACATTTACACTTTTGAATTGGGAGCAGGGTGTTTGCAATATGTAGCACTTTAAATGGCTCATGGCCTGCACTTTGCCCACCCCTGTTCTGTAGGAATGACATAATTTTGGGGCAAACTCTTCTGAGCCAGCATGATAGAAAAGGTAACAAATGGAACTGATCTTGAGTTGTATTTTTCCTCGAAATGTTTGTTGCTATATGGCAGCTTTGAGTTGTGTTTATTTATTAATTGCACTTATAACCTTCCCTTCCACTGATGGTCATTACTGTATATGGCTTTCTAATTGCATTTGGCTTAAAATAGTTACAGAGCTGCTGTAGCCAGCAACTCTGATGAGATAGCATTCCTGATTATGGCTGTTCTGTGATGTTGCTGATATGAACATGGTTACAGAACTCTTTATAGACCGACACAGTGAATGCCTAAGGTCTTGAATGCTACTGTTCACATGGAGCTGGTGGGGGCTGGAGTTACACGTCCACCCACCTGACCTTTAGTCCTACCCACCAGCAAGCAAATGGCCGCAGTGACTGCTGCTCACGAACATAATGCTCTCACATTAGGGGAGCTAATAGGTACTATGGAAGATTGACTCCAGGAAGACTGGTGCCACAACTTTTTTCTTTTACCACAAGAGGGTCTTGTTGAGTTAATGATTTAGCCTTCCTTGGCCATGCTTTGCATTTTTTTATATATAAATTGCCTCCTTATTCCTCTAGGCCCCTCACCATGCTTTTTAGGATAGCACCTGCTAAAACCTCTTTAATATACATTATTTAAAATCTTTACATTCTGTTTTCCTGAAAATATCCAGGCTGGCTTGCAATGCAAGTATGGTAAAATACAATTGAAATCATTCATGTAGGATTCAGGATGAAACTCCTGCTCTGGATAAGGCAACTGTTGGCATGTATAAAAGATATTCATGCAAAAGGGCCAAGCATGCACTTGTCTTAATGCTACAGTTGTGTTGCCCAACCTAGGGAGACTGAGCCACTTTCTTCTGCCATGGCCTCGCTTGGGCTTGTTCAGAGCAATGTTGTCTTTGGTCTGGGGTTGTCCCAGGTCATTCTGTTTTTTTCTTCCTAAATTGGAATAGATCACCCTTTTATTGGCAGCCACACATGGGCCATCCTAGTGCCACCTGTCCAAACACTTCTAGAATTGCTTCCTGTTGTCTCATTCCAGCACAGATTGCTATCTCCCTTTTGCCTATCCTCCATACCCTCTCCCTGCCTACTTCCCTCTTCCCTCCTTATTTTCCTGTCTATACGATGTGGAAGGGTAGAGATTGACCAGCAGAAACATGTCAATAAAGAAATATCACTCAGTAACGTATATCTGCAAAGTATGTGGATCAGGATGGAACAATACAGGTCTACACAAGCAGATCCTGCCCTGGGTCAAGTCAGAGCAAAGCAGGACCAAAATAAAACATCACTCAGCCGTGATGTAAAAAATGCAGGAAGCAAGGTTTTGGGTCCCGCTTGGACTCTGTTGTGAGTAGTTTCAGCCTTGTGCTGTGAAAGCTGAGATGCAGTACCAGTACTAGGGAAAGAAAATCGAACAATTGCCCAGTCTTGTCTTGATTCTCTTTTAATTGTGAAGCTCTCTCGATGATCTTGGGCCAGTTGCTAGTTTTCAGTCTAACCTGTCTCATGGGTTTGTGAAGTTGAACTGGGATAGAAAGAACTTTATGGCCCCTAAACTCTTATGGAAGAGAAGGTTAAAGATGTAATAAATATGAACGACTGTGTCCATTCATCTCTTAATTTTTGAAGGAATGAAGGTGTACGCATTCTATGGTTACTACGCAAAGGCCAATCTCCTTTGGTTTAAAAAGTTTAGGATACAGTGTTAGTTTCTCTGAGCCCCAAGTGGAAGCAAACACACTGTGATTCTTTCTTCTCTGGCGCCCTTGTCCGTGTTGAAAAGGGTCACATTGTTATCTGTAAAACAGACAGGGTAAATTTTCATGCTGTGCTTACCATTTCAGAAGGAGGGAACTGGTTGATGCAAACACATATTTTCTATCTTTAGAATACTTTTAGTTTCAAATAGTGGTGTGATTTAGAAAGACAATTTTTAGCATCCAGTATTTTTCACTTCTTGTTTGGATCAGTATGTTTCTTTTCTTCCAAAACAAAGGAGGCTTAGTTTTGATTTTTAATATTTTCAGGTTTGTACCTCATGTGGACTTTCACCCTAGTGGCACGTGCATCGCTGCAGCCGGCACAGACAACACAGTGAAAGTGTGGGATGTTAGAATGAATAGGCTTCTGCAGCATTATCAAGGTAAGTAGCATGTGGTCAGGATCTCCTTGGCTAAGCACATAGCAGGACATTCAAGTGGAAATAAAGCTGAGCAGCAATTAAGCAGTTTGCTTCCTTGATTTCCCCACCTTGCTGTTTATGAATATCAGAAATGGTCAGCTCTTTTAAAGGTGAAAGTAATGGTATTGGCTTACGCACAACGATTGCAGATCAAGTAAGAGAACGCAACTATGAAACAAGAAGACAAGAGAAGTGCAGGAGAACACAAGTACACACCGTTTTGATGCTAAAACTGGTTCTAAGACATAAGACATAAGAAATTTATTTGTCATTGCACTCACAAGTGGGTGCAACGAAATGAGGTGCTCTTCCCCAAGGTAAAACTGGACAACACCACTACAAAGGATCAGTATGTTTCTTTTCTTCCAAAACAAAGGAGGCTTAGTTTTGATTTTTAATATTTTCAGGTTTGTACCTCATGTGGACTTTCACCCTAGTGGCACGTGCATCGCTGCAGCCGGCACAGACAACACAGTGAAAGTGTGGGATGTTAGAATGAATAGGCTTCTGCAGCATTATCAAGGTAAGTAGCATGTGGTCAGGATCTCCTTGGCTAAGCACATAGCTGGACATTCAAGTGGAAATAAATCTGTGCAGCAAGTAAGCAGTTTGCTTCCTTGATTTCCCCACCTTGCTGCTTATGAAAATCAGAAACGGTCAGCTCTTTTAAAGGTGAAAGTAATGATATTGGCTTACGCACAGCGATTGCAGATCAAGTAAGAGAACGCAACTATGAAACAAGAAGACAAGAGAAGTGCAGGAGAACACAAATACACACCGTTGAGCAGAAGAGCTTCAGCCTCGTTTTGATGCTAAAACCTTAGTGCTTTTATCTTTTACAAAAGATCTTTTACTCCGTGCCTCTTGAATTGCTTTGTTACTTGGCTGAAATGTTCAGTTGTGTGTTTATGTTTGTATTTTTAAAAAACACACAACCATTATTGATTTTAGGAATGACACAAAATCCCAATTCACAATGTATGTTGTGTCAGTTTTCATAGAAAGTCATCCATCTATTTTGTGAAGGTACTTGGAAAGCTAGGTAAAGGTAAAGGTTCCCCTTGACAATTTTTGTCCAGTCGTGTTGGACTCTAGGGGGCAGTGCTCATCCCCACTTCCAAGCCATAGAGCCAGTGTTTTTGTCCGAAGACAATCTTAGCACTGCCTTAGTGCTTTTATCTTTTACAAAAGATCTTTTACTCCGTGCCTCTTGAATTGCTTTGTTACTTGGCTGAAATGTTCAGTTGTGTGTTTATGTTTGTATTTTTAAAAAACACACAACCATTATTGATTTTAGGAATGACACAAAATCCCAATTCACAATGTATGTTGTGTCAATTTTCATAGAAAGTCATCCATTTATTTTGTGAAGGTACTTGGAAAGCTAACTTTATTTATTTAATATCTTGCCTTTCTCCCAATCTAGGTGATCAAGGTGGCTTCATTGTTGTGACATGAAAGTCATGAGCAGAAACTGTCTTTTGACTTTCTCTGTATGATTTTATGCCTTACCTCCCTTTCAGTGTCACTTTCTGTTGTTTTACTTAAGTCCATGTTAGTAACTTGTGCTTTCTCTCTGTCTCCTCCCCCCCCCCTTTTGTCTTAGTGCATAGTTCTTCAGTGAACTGCTTGTCCTTTCACTCCTCTGGAAATTATCTAATTACTGCTTCTAATGATTCAACTTTAAAAATACTGGATTTACTAGAGGGGAGACTGCTGTATACACTTCACAGCCACCAGGTGAGGAGATTGCTTTAGAAGCAAATGGCCTGTATGTTTGGAAGCTTTCTTGATATTCTGGTTCCCTGAGGTCTTCCATCAAGGCTGGCTTGGGGACGTCTTTATCGTCCATCGCACAGTTGATGCCTGTAGAATCTCAGTTGCAGACTTCCTTCTCCAACTTCATTCATCTTTCTTCTTGGTGGTTTTTAGAAGGCAGTTGAAAAATAATGACTTGATTTTATGCAGTGTTGCTTATTTCTTACTCTTAGTTGTATGTAATGTTTTTATGCTGGTGGTCTTTCTTTTCACTTAAATAAAATGGTCATCATCCATTGCCTTCTGTAAGGTAAGAAAGAGGAGCAATGGTCTTTTCACTGGATGGAAAGTTTCCCAGCGGAGAAGGCATCAAGAGCAGAAAAATTGTGCACCGCGGACCATAAGACATATTTTTAGTTGATGTGCCAGTTGAAAGCTTTTCAGAATTATAGCCAAACCGGGTCTTTTCACTGGATGGAAAATTTGCCCAGCGGAGAAGGCATTAAGAGCAGAAAAATTGGAAAGTTGCCCAGCGGAGAAGGCATCAAGAACAGAAAAATTGTGCACTGCGGACCATAAGTACGCGAGTGAGCGTTGCTTTAGAGCAGTTTATGACTCTCCCACCAAAACAACAAAATACTGAAATTTTTGGAGAGGGTTTTGGGGAGGAGAGCACTTCCTGCCTTTCCATCGCATTCCCGCAACCTTCTAGAAACTCTTACAGATGCTTTTTATCCTGACTGAGCAAAGAGCTGTAAGATTTTTGTGTCTGCACTGTTGGTTATGTGACCATAGTTTACTAAAAGACATGTTTTTAGTTGGTGTGCAAATTGAAAGCTTTTCAGAATTATAGCCAAACCTATATTAATGGCTGTGGATGAAAACAGTGTTAATGATTCCAGCCTTTCTAAATCAAATGTCACGTCTGTGGAGAATATTAGTCACCCAAAAGAACAGCTTGTTAATTTTATTTTTACAATTTGCCTATTTGTGCTGAAGATACTGCCAGGCTGAGATGTGGTTCTTATTCTAACAGCTGATTGGTGCTCTAAGACTGTTACTCAGGAGAAAAGCTTTGGATTCCTTAGATAGACTTTGACGTAACTATTGGTGTACCAGGAATTCGTTAAGAACTGATTAGCTGTAGTTTACATAAGGACGTCTGCCAAGTTTATATTGCTGTCTTTAATTATAATGGTGCTTATTCTTTGCACCAGAATGATTGTTGAGATGATGGAGTTTAACTCTCTGCTGACATTTGTAGCCACAGAATTGGTACACTGTGCTTGGATCTTGACTGGTGTTTCGGTTTATGGAATACTTTCCCCTTGAAACACAAACAAGACTAGGAATTAATGTATAAATCCATTGTTGACATTTGGACTTGCAGAGAAGCAGAATGTTCCAGAACTGAGTTATTCTTGGGTGGCCATTAAAATTTATACAGAAGGATATACATTGTGGATACTGTATATACTTCACTGGATGTTCTGTTTTTGAGAGGGTTCTCTGCACTGTTTTCAGGTGTAGGAATTATGCTGGTGAAACACTTGGATAGAAAAATCAAAGAAATTTTAAGAGCTTCCAAAAAGGAGATTGGTTTTTGCTATAGGTTGTTTGGGAAAAGACATTATTTCTCTTCAGGCTAGCTTTCCCTCCGTGACTGGCTACATGAGTGTGACTCTTAGATGGATTTTTATGTGTGACTGCTCTGTCTTTAGTACTACTTGTTTTAGAAGAGACTGCAATGTTAATCTGTGGAAGCATATCAGGCAAAATCCTGAAACAATAAATATACAATAAATAATATTGTGTATTTACTGTTTTAGCTTTAATATTGTCTTCTAATGATGTAAGCTACCTCGTTATACTCATTGTTCTTAAGCCTTAAATTTAGTCCTATAAGTATGTAGACCACAATTGTATACTCATTGTTTTCAGCTCTAAATATTGTCTTTCAGTGATGTAAGGCTCCTTGGGTCCTTTTTAAGGAGAAAGGTGGGGTAAAATATTTTAAATAAATAGATAAATAATTATTAGGCTCACTATGTAGTTTCAACAATGGACAACTACAGTAGAAACCCCATATCCATGGGGAGGCATTCTAATCCCCCCCCTCCCCATGATTCTGAAAAACACAGTTTACAGTGAATGCTAGTGTTTCCCTGAAAATAAGACAGGGTCTTATATTAATTTTTGCTCCAAAAATGCACTAGGGCTTATTTTCAGGGAATGTTTTTTTTTTCATGTACAACAATACATTTATTCAAATACAGTCATGTCACTATCTGGTTGCTGCACAATGCTGCACAATGGTGGAGGGCCGCATTTCACTTAACTGGGGCTTATTTTTGGTATTTTATGGGCTTATTTTTGCTCATAATATAAGCTTCCTAAAAGCTTATATTATGAGCATCTTGAAAAATCATATTAGGGCTTATTTTCAGGTTAGGGTTTATTTGGGGAGTAAACGGTATACATAGCATGGTCTCCACCTCCTCTAGCGGCCAGCTCTGGTAACTTTATATTTTTATATACATGTTTTTAGGATTTGTCTTAATATTTTTAGACTGTGGATAAGTGAATCAGTGAATACTGATCCTGTGGGTAAGGTGGTCCTACTGTATTATGCTTTTCTAATACAAATATAGTTGGTTAAAAGATTTCTTAAAAGAACAGAAACAATAAAATGTCCAGTTGATAAAATAAACATTAATATCCATTTATCTCAAACCTATCCAGAACATTCACATGTTAAAGACCCATTTGAAAAATAACCAGGGAAGGAAGCAGGCACATTTTTATGGTGGGGATGCGGCCATCACTGAAAAGCCCCTGTTCTTTATATATTCCAGCTTTACAGATTTTACTAGCGAGCAGGCTGATTTAACGTCAGGACAGGTTCTTGTAGGAGACTTCCAGGGATTTGTGGCATTTAGTGTGGCAAAATAATTCCTAAGTGTACTGTTGGACATAAAATAATGTTATAGGTAACTTCCCATATACATAGTATTAGTGGATCATTCACATAGGATATTTAAATATGAGTTCAATCAGCGTTGCAAATGTTGTTTTCTCTTTTAAAAGGTATGGTGAAATGTTAGTGTTTGAAATGTTATTTTGCATTTACTTTTTGATTGAGACAATTCCTAAAAGTGGCTTATGGAAATGTCCTCTCACTATTTTTATTCAGTTACTTATTGGGGGAGGACAGGTGGTTCCCTCAAGGTATGACCATAATTCAGACAAAATTTATTCATTATAATACTTCCCCACCCCCAGCCCCCTGGAAAATTTATAGTAGCCTTGTGAACAAGTTCTCAGTAGTGACTAGCTGGCAAAAATATTTACTATCTTGCTTGGAGCTGGCAGATACAGGTATGTCCCTCATATATCAGCGGACTACAGTCATCCTCCAATTAGCTGCCTTGATTTGTCTGCAGAAGAAAAGTGGAGCGCTCTCTCTCTCTGTTTTGTCAGCTCATTTACATAATTGCATGCAGGTTCTTTTAACCTATGATTACCAACCTTCCAACATGCATTTTGTGATTCTTTCAAGTTAGGACAGTAAAGGTGTCCTTGATTCAATCATTAACCTGTAACTATAATGGACCAAGAATTAATTACATGCAGGCATGGGCACAGAGGTCTATGTAGGCAAGACTGTATATTGACGGGAATCTAGCAGAGAAGGTATGTGGGCCACTATAGAAGCAAATCAGTTCTACAGTGCAGTTAGGTAGCTCTGCATCCCTCCTCTGGATATCCAGCTGGATAGTTCAATGAGTTGGGTACCTGCCTGCAGAGCCAGAGGTCAGGGGTTCGATACCACCAGCATCCTTCCTTGAGGAAAAGAGTCACCTCATGGAGCGTTGGGTAAGCAGCGCAACATTCTGTTCATGAACATTCAGTGTGGAAATCGCCATCCTGCACTCTGGTGCCATCTGCCATCAGAATAAAATGCATGGTGTGCTGTAGAAAGATCAGCCTGTAATACTGAGGAATCTACCTCTCAGTCATTTTGGTGGCACAAATTGTTATGTAAGAGAGAAAAAATAACAGGCCCCTGTTCTGAAAATCGTATCACTGTCTAAGGCTGCAATCTGGTGCCATTCGTACCTCCCTGTAAATCTCACTGAACAAAATGGGGCCGACCTCGGGTTAAGCGTGAGGGCCAGGGCCTTCTAAAAGATGCAGCCCAGAACTTCAGGGCCAAGGGCTGAGAACCACAAGTGTCTGAGCGCTCAGAGTCTGTCTCCCATCCTGCAAGGGCAAAAAACTACATGTAGAGTATTTTCACATTTCCAACAGATGTATTATGTTCCTAAGAAATTCACAATTTACCTGCTGGTGTGTCACTTTGCTAGAACAAGCAGGTGTCTGTTGTGCCCAAGCACATGAGAGCCTCTCCCCCAACCTCATTTCAGCATATATTTTTTGGTCTGTTCAGACCCTGCCATGTCATTTGTTCTTTTGTCTTTACAGGGTCCAGCTACTTGTGTTTCTTTTTCAAGAACGGGCGACATCTTTGCTTCAGGAGGCTTCGATGAGCAGGTTATCTACTTCAAATTCTCTCAAGTAAATTGTGTGCCATGAATATTGTGGAGATAGAATATAGTATCCCCTAGTTCACATCTTTCATCATCATCATCGTCTTCATCATGAATCTGATAGTACAGTTTTTGCTGTGATGTCTGGCTACAGCTAGGTGTTGGATGCAACAGGAATCGAACCCAGAAAACAAGACTATTGATAAGTTACATAAATATGACTCCTGTTTCAGCAAGTGCAGTCCTCCATCCAGTTGGGTGACATAAACTCTTAATGTTATTTCTCAGCCTAAATGGGCCACAATCCTAATACTTAGAAATTGACATCATTTTCTTCTGTTTATTTTGCTCTCTGTGCCTTCAAACTTGCCTCTGTCATCCAAAAGGTTACAGTTTATTTTATATGGAAATAGTTTAATATGATTTAGAAAATGGATTAACCGCATTTCTATAAAAAATATTCAGGGCAGAGTGCAAGACAAATATGTATAGAGAGAAGCCAACAGCAAAATACAAAAGCACTATTCTGAAAGCTTTGAAAAAGATAATTGTGTTAACTTGGTATTAAAATTGATGTCTTTCTAAAGGGTTTGTTCTGTAATTGGCAGTGCTGCTATGAGACAAGTCCCGTCCTTACTTGTAGATTTGGCATAAGAAAAAGACTATAATGAAGTTTCCCAACTAATTTAAAAAGACAGGGAAATACATAGGAGGACCCAGTAACGTATACTGGGCATAGGGCTTTGTAGGCAGTAGTGAATGTCTTCAGGTAGTTCAGAAAGCAAATTACCAGCCTGGGTGACTGGAGCAAGGTACTAATATTATAATTCTTTGTTGTCCTGGCTGGTAACCATCCTATTCATGTTACAAATCTTCTCTTATCTCATTGGGCTCGCTGCAGCACTGTGAGTGGTTTTCTCTGGGCCAAGCAGCTCATCTGTCTGCTACTCCTTGTGCTTTGCTTCTTTTTGTAAGGCGACCCAACAGGGCATGAGTTCGGGTGTCGCCCTTTTGGAGCTGTTATTCTTAGCCTAATGAATTGTACATTTTTGTGGGTTTCAGTTCAGCCTGCTCAAAGGCATCCTCTAGATATTTAAATGGCCCCTCTCTTTTTCTTTCTCTATAGGTGTGCATGTGCATATAGAGTATAAACAATAAAAATAGAGAGGCAAGAGGTAGCATAAGTAGGTGGTTCTCTTGCTGAAAGCTCAGGGTCACTCCTCACGTTGGGCAAAGGGAGGTGACTAGCTTCGAAGACTGGCTTGAGATGTCAATAAAAGAGCAACGACATTGTTGTTCAATTTAGTATTAATTTCCTTTTCTACTGGGGAGTGACAATAACACTTGTGGAATTCTCTGCCTGGGGTACCTAAATAACTTGTCTAGTCTTGGTTATAATATATATCCAAATTATTTGCAGCCTCAAGCAGTGAAAGGTCTTAAGCTAGGCCTGTCCAAGCATTTCAGATGGCATCCTAACCTTACTAGCATGGACATTCCAATCTTGAAAGCATTTTTTTAAAAAAACTACATATCTTATTTACTCATCCCCCCCTCTTTTCCTCCCTCCCCCCATTCACTGTACAGTTCATGGGCATTTGTGAATCCACCTTTATCAATGCAAAATGCACGATGTGCTTTATAACAGCATCCAAACCACTATGTTTTATTGAAAATTTTAATAGCTGTTCTGTTAGAAGGGTTTGATAATGAAATCTGATCACATTCAGCATTAGTATTTTAGATTCTGGCAAAATGTCATTGTATGCCTTTATTCTAGCACAAAAGTTCTTTTATATCTGCGGAAGATTTCCAAATTACTGCCAAAATAGTTGCCTGCATGAAATTTCTTTCAAATTCACTTTACTTTGTAGGTAATGGTATGGAAGACAAATTTTGATGCTGCTGATTATGGTGATGTATTAAAAACGAGGAAACAAAGTACGAATGTGAATGGTGCTGATTATGGTGATACTCCAGGAGCACAGAAATCCAACACAAATATGAATGGTGCTTTTAACAGTGTGGTAAGTTTACATCATTATGGTCATCCTATAACTTTTAAGTACTCTGGCCTTTGTTTAGGCTTCAGGAAAACAGATGGGCTCATCTTTCCATTGCATGGCATTGTTGGCAAATTTCAGCTCAGTAAAATATAGGCAATCTGGGATTCTATTTTATTTTATTGATGTTAGAAGTTATAAAAATTGTGTGTGTCTTACAGGTTTTATGTATTTTTATAGATTTTAAAGCTTATTTATATTTCATTAAGACGTTTGTATGTTCCCTGTAACATAAGAGAGCTTGTATGCTGTTGTAGTTACAGGAGAAGTGAGTTCAGATTCCCCCTTAGATGTGAAATTCAGTAGTCGATCTTGGGCCAGCCACAGTCTTGTGGCCCAAGAAAAAAGTGGTAGAAGAGCCATGTACACAGCAGTGAGGTCATTGGAGAAAATGTGAGATGGGATGTAAGTGCAACTAATAATTAATATGCTGTCAAAATGATTAAAATCCTTCTCAATTCCTAATGAATCAGTGGAAGTAATTTCGGTACAGGAAGTTTGATTTCTCCGTTTAACAAGCTGGCTCTATAAGCATTATCCATATGCCCTATACCTTTTTTTCATCCCCCCCCCCATCATTTTGAATGGTGCATTTGCCTCTGAATTGTGCTTTGTACTTTCTGCTGTTACATTTTGAATCCCTCTTGCCTAGCTCTGTTGGTTTCAGGTTTGAAAACCCCATTATTTATCCTCCTCTTGATGTGCAACACTGTCCACGTTCCACAGTTTGCTAGTAGCCTCCTGGACTACTTTGTGCTGATTGTAATGTTTTGCTAGTTGTGCTTTCTGTTCTGACCTCATATTTATCAGGTTAGGAACTCACTCCAGTTCTGGCATCAGTTTATCTTGGTATCTTGCTTTTGTATTTGTGGGGACAGAATTAGGCCGGTTGTATTTAGAATAAATTAAATTAGACTCCAATTACCGTTAGAAGAATAAAAGAAATTAAATTCTATCACCATCAGAGTCCTCTAGCTCTTCCCTTCATTTGCCTCTCTAGAGAAAGGGAACCTTTGTTGATATTCAGCACAATCCCATATGTCTACACAGAAGTAGGCTCCTTTGAAAGCTGTTGTGTAGGTACCATTGTAAGTGTTGTATGAACTGACAGGACTTTTAGAAGGTCACTGATGCATAGAGCTGACATAAATTGGAAGCATCTTGATGACACACGACAACAAGTGTTGTTAAGATGGGCAGTCTAAACCTCGTGTTTATAGATAACTGTCATGAGACAGAGGGCTGAATCCTGTGAACCATAAGGTCAGCTTAAGGTCTGGGTAGGGCTTTAAAGTTCCATAGTTCTTGTTTCCTATGCCTTTACACACCTTTTTCCTTCTGGTATGTCTTTTCTGTTTATCCTGGCTCTCTGTCTCATACAGATATAATCCAGAGTGTAAAAAATTATGGGATGATGTGTGTTGGTTTTATTCCAATCCCAATCATCAAGCTGTTTACAAAATTGTCAAGTATCCTAATTCTTAGAAAGCCAAACTGTCACCTTGACAGAACTTGTTTGTACAGTTTTTCCAAAATCAGAAACTGATTTTGTGTTTTTTAGTGCAGAATGTGGAAGAAACAAATTACAAATTATATAGTTACCAGTAACTAGTTACTTTTGTGAGTTAACAGTAGAATTTTAAATTTGGCTTTCAGATTTCAGTATAATATTTAGAGGTATTTGAACTATGTTCTAATCTAAATAACCTTGGCATATGCCTGGAATCAGTTGTTTATCCCACCACATATACATAAATTTTTTCCAGAATTTCTTACCTGGATACATTGTCTATCTCACTAAAGTTCTGGTCACCTTTTGTTTTTCCCTATCAGAGAAGTACCTCCACTAGGTGGCACTCTTACTCTATCTGACAGCAGAGGTACCTCTTTTGTTGTTGTTGTTGTTTAGTGGTGTCCAACTCTTTGTGACCCCATGGACCAGAGCACGCCAGGCCCTCCTGTCTTCTACTGCCTCCCGGAGTTGGTTTAAATTCATGTTGGTCGCTTCGATGACACTGTCCAACCATCTTGTCCTCTCTCGTCCCCATCCCCTCCTGCCTTCATGCTTTCCCAACATCAGCATCTTTTCCAGGGAGTCTTCTCTTCTTATGAGAATAGCTAGTCTATGTGAAAGACAGAGATTTATATCACCTCCTGACATTTTTCTTTAGAAGTGAATGTAACTTCGGTTTAAATGATTTTTTAATGTTAATCCCCGCCCCCTTTTTTAGTTAGATTATTTGATGCAAAGGCACATTTTTTTAACTTGATGCAAGTTGTATAACTTTGGCCTTTCTGATAATAGGTATTCTAGATGAGTATCTTTCATAATTTCTACCCCAAGGCCCCATTGAGAAAACTGAAGTTGACGGAATTTGTCGGTCACGAGAAGTAGTACAAGGTAGAACAGTTATAATTAGTATAGCTCAGTACATTTGAGAGCCTGGGTACCAAGCTGGGAGCCAGAAGTTTGAATCTTCTCTGTGCCTTCCATTAGAGGGGACGGCTGAGATCACTCGGAGTGTGTGTGGCTGACACCTCCTGCTTTGCTACCGCTGTGGCTTAGACAAGCCACACGGCTCCTGAGTGCCACCAGAAAGAAGAAGTGGGAAATTACTTCTGAGCACTCTCTACCTGGGAGGGTCATCAAAAATTGAAACCAGTTTGATAGCACATGATTATTACTAGAGCAAGCCACAAAGTCAGAAGGAGAAAGAGAATGGGCAGTTCCTAACACTGTTTATGTGAAAGTACTAAACGTCTGCAGTGAAGTTCCATGGATAAGCTTTTCCCTCAAGTGAAGAGGTATTATGACTCTGTTCTACCCCATAATTATGAGCTGATTGCTTATCCAGGTTCTCTAATAGAAATGGCTTTCTATTTCGTATTTCTTCCTGTCTGGCTTCTGTGCCTCGTAATGCTTGATCATTTGACTGCCATTTATTCTCCCTTTCTACTTTCATATGTAACTTCTGTCCTTTTCCCATCTGCCAGTTTTTCTCTCCCTCCCTTCTGCTTTTACATTCACTTCTCCTATAAGAGCTTCCTTCGTTGATCTGTTTCTGTTTCTTTTTGACATTCTTCAAAGCTCTCGCAGGTCCTTTTCTCCCAGGGCAAGGAGACCTCTCCTCCCGTCTCTTAACTTCTGACCACCTTTATTTGGTGCTGCCTTTTTTCTGCTGCTGTCACCTTCCCCCCTTGCAGGCAGCCACCATGTATTCAGAGGCTTTGCTCTTTTGCAGTGAAACAGCTGGAAGCCAGTTTGTTCTAAGACAAAAATAATCAGTTTTTTTCCATGGCTATAATGTGCTACAGCAGCAATCATCCCATTGGCTTTTCTGGTTTGTTATTTTCATTTATGTACTTAAAATACATGTTGGCTTCTCTTTGAGTTGAAGTTTCCTTAAGATGGCAAGTAGAAAAAAAGTTTAAAATTATAAAATTTAGTCAACAATTTCTTATTGCCCTTCTTCCGATTTTTTTTCTACCTTTTCTCACAGGAGACCAGGCATTCTGTCCATTTCTCTTACGTTTCCCTCTGTTCTTCATCTCTTCTACTCCTTTTCTTTTCCTGCACTGCTTTGCAGCTTTGAAGAGCCTCGTGGAGGAGTGGTTAAACTGCTGTCCTGCAGCCAAAACTGTGCTCATGACCCAGGGTTCAATCCCAGGTAGCCGGCTCAAAAAACGAGATCAAATTAGTTTGGCAGGATTTGTTCTTGACAAATCCGTGTTGGCTTCTAGTTATTACTGCATTGTTTTCTAGGTACTTGCACAATGACCACTTTATGATCTGTTCCAGAATTTTGCCTGGAATTGATATCCGGCTGACTGGCCTGTAGTTCCCAGGTTCCTCTTTTTTTTGGCCTTTTTAAAGATAGGGACAACATTGGCCTTCCTCATTTCTCGAAACCTTATATCAGTGGTTCCTCACCTTGATTAACCCAGGAATTTTTGGACTGCAACTCCCAGAAGCCTTCACCACTCTAGCTTTGCTGTCTAGGGTTCTGGAAGTTGCAGTCCAGGAACGCTTACTTGGGTTGCCCAAGGTGGGGAACCACGGTTCTGTCCCTGTGTCAAGGTCAAAACTTTGACATTTGAACAATGATAACCAAGCACGGTAAACATTTGTAATACTCGTTGGCAGTTTGAGTGTGTGGTGGTCCATCACAGTTGACATTTGTCCCTGAAAGGATTAATTCCAGTGAGAAATGGATAACCTTTCCAGTAATATCAAAATTCATATGGGTGTCAAAGTATCAACATTTTCATTGTTGAAAGGATTCCAGCTTGCCTATGCCTACAAAATTTATTCATCTACATGCACAAAAAGCCCAATGTATTGAAAACATGTAATTTTTTTGAGAAGTTACAGACACATCTCAATTACACAGAAATTAAATTTACAGCAGTGCAAAAGCTGTCGGTACAAATGATTAAAATGTGTGAACTCTAAATTTACATTGCAGGCAAATATTCAAATCAGAATTCAATCCAAAAATGTAGGAGCATAAAAGGTACAATAAAAATGCCAAAATAATATTTTAGCAAGTTTAAAAATGCAGGGGCTGATAGCTTCAAAAGGCACAATCACAAAGAGTGTATACTTCATTTATATATGAAACTAAAATACAGTTCTTAGCCTTTAAGCATATTTAGTCACATAAGGAAGTGATTAAACAATGTTCTCACCCAGCCAAGCCAGCCATGTCCATGTTTGCAGCTATGGAGAGATATCCATGGTCTCTTTTATTGTGCATGTTGCTGGCTTCTGGAAATCAAAAACCCTGCTTCGTCATTGCTTCGTGCTCTTTGATGTCTGGTATTTAGTGCCTTGTATCTTGTTTGTATCTGGTGTTGCTGTATCTTGCTTCCCTGTATTTATATTTCTCTCATTTGTGTATTTTTCTGCTATCAGCCGGCATGCTTCCCATATACCAGTAATTCGCGACCAGACCAATTTGCTT